AAAATTCTCGCTCACACACACACACACACACACACACACACACACACACAGACGGATGGAGGAGTCGGGCCGTTCTCTCAGTTAACACAAACCTCCCTCATAATCGTCATCTTCCTTGGCCGGTGGCGGGCCGGCGCTTCCCCCTTGAGGAGCAACAGGAGATTTCTTCTTCTTCCCGCCGCCTCCACCGGGCACCCTCAGAGAGATCGCCAGCTTGGCATACTGCACAAACACAGACCAGAAAACAGCTATTGATAATGCCAATGCATGATTACTGGAGTTTTGAAAATATAGTGAATGCCTAGTACATATGTTATGTTTCCACCAAGGTTATCATTAATGAAAACAAAAACAAACAAAAAAATCTTACTTAAAATAAGCAATGTATAAAATAAAATATATTAAAAAACAACTTAAACATTTTATTTCAGCTAGTTGTAAAGACATTTTTGTACTAAATTACTAATTGTTTTTACATTTTAGTACATTTTTGTACTAAAGTACTAAATTAACCCAAAAAATAAAAGCTAAAAAAAGATATAAAAACGACACAACAAAATTGCTAAAATTACAATGAAAAATTACAATTAATTCAAAGTATTACAAAAAGTAACTACACAAAGTAAACAAAGTATAAATATATTTCAGCGATAATAAAATAAGAAAGCTAAATATTTTTGTAAAGATGTTCATTTTCAATGATAAGTGGTCTTGAAAAATGTATATACTAACGTGTACACTATTATTCAAAGGTTTGAGGTCAGCAAGAATTTTCAAAATGAATTTAAAGAAATGTAAGGTTTTTAAGAATACTTAAATTAATACTTTTAATCAGCAATGATGCATTAAATTAATCACAATGGACCTTTCTAGTGTTACTTAAGATTTTGAATAAATGCTGTTCTTTTGAACCGTCTATTCAGCATTGCCATCACAGGAATAAATTACATTTAATACAATATATTAAAATAGAAAACTGTTGTTTTAAATTGTAACTGTTAAGAGACTTCTTTT